GGCTTGTGTTTGTCTGGGAGGAAGGAGTGGGTGGAACCTGGACCCTCCTAGGCTCCTTATTTTCCTGTGAAATCCCCTTGTTGAATTAGAGAATAAATAGATGTGCTTCCTGGCTCAGGAGGTCATCATCTGTCTCTCTGGCAGAAGAGGTCGGTGGCCCTCTCAGCTCCCAGCTTAAAATCTATCTCTGTGTCTTCTCTCTTTATTTCTATTATTTTTCAATCCCTGGCCACCTCCACTTAGAACCTGTTTGTTCATCTCTTTCTGTGCTGGCCAAGAAAAGGGAGATCTCCACCGCATCAACCCCCCCCCCACCACCACCACCACCACCATCTCAAAACACTAAGTTAAATCTAAACAAAGCTAACATATGGGATATTTTTAATTTCAATGGTCCACAACAGCTAAAATGTATACTATCTGGCCTTTATGGAAAGTTTGCTGATCCTTGGTCTAAAACACAATACATAATTCCATTGACACATTTGTTGCTAGTGCAAAATTGTGATGGTCTGGCTAATTTTTCTCTTGAGAGTTTATCTCTCTCTTTTTTCCCCCCAGTTGTGTGTGTATACATATATAACTTAGAAAATGTATATAAAACATAAAATGATGTTTCAGTCAACAACTGACTGTATATACAACAGTGGTATGCCAGTAGCCAGATGTGTGGTATGCAATACCATTCAGGTTTGTGTAAGTAGAACTTATGGTATTTGCATAACAATAAAATTATCTAACAATATATTTCTAAGAACACATCCCTGTCAGTTAAGTGGCACATGAATGTATATTTTATGTAACTGACATAATGCTTAGAATAAATTTTTAAAATATGGAAAATATTGAGACTGATGCAGTTTGTTTTTTTTTTTAAATTTACACTAGAGGTTAGCTACTTTACCTGTGTATTTTTTACCACTGTTCATATCTAAGAAATTCCAGGTAAATTATCTTAGTTGTACTCCCCTATTATATTTCCTTGATGGCAAGGCATTTAAAACCTCCTCTTACAAGCCTTTAGCACACTCACTGCTCTAGTGCCTAGAAAAGTAACCCATGAACCACTTGCAGAGTTTATAATGGTATATCTTTGTTGGTCTCATGGTTTATTTTATTTTAAATCTGAGCTGCCATTTAAAAATCAAGAGCCATCACACACTTAAAAATATGTAGATTTCTGAATGCTCTTTAAGTCAGAAGAGCTGGCAAATGGGGCCTGATTTTCCTCAGAGCATTTATTAGCTGGAAATGGCCACTGGGCATGCTGCTTAACTATTGTCCCAATCAGGTTCATTTGTTATTCTTTTCATACACAGTTTGCTAACTTCTTTAGTTTGCATGTAACAACTTCATGGATGGTATTGACAAATAAGGCTTCCTTTTTTGTAGTCTTCTAATGCACTTCTACTATAAAGATTGTTAACACTTTTCTGACATGTCTACTGCTATATAAAACTAGAAGCCCGGTGCACGAAATTTGTGCATGGAGGCAGGAAAGGGTGTCCCTCACCCCAGCCTGCACCCTCTACAATCTGGGACCCCTCAAAGGATGTCTGACTGCCCATTTAGACTCAATCCCAACCATGTGTAGGATCAGGCCAAACAGGCAGTTCAACATCCCTCTCACAATCCAGGACCACTGGCTCCCAACTGTTCGCCTGCCTGCCTCTAACTGCTTCTGCCTGCCAGCCTGATCACCCCTAATCACTCCCATGCCAGCCTGATTAATGTCTAACTGCTCCCCTGACAGCCTGTTTGCCCCCAACTTCTCTCCTCTGATGGCCTGGTCACCCCTAACTGCTCTCCCTTGCAGGGTTGATCGCCTCCAACTGCCCTTCCTTGCAGGCCTGGTGCCTCCCAACTGCCCTCCCCTGCTGGCCAACTTGTGTCTACATGGGGGCAGGATCTTTGACTACATGGGGCAGCCATACTGTGTGTTGTAGTGATGGTCAATCTGCATATTACTCTTTTATTAGATAGGATAGTGGCCTGGTGCATGGTGGGGGCCAGCTGGTTTGCCTTGAAAGGTGTCCTGGATCAGGGTGGGATTCCCTTGGGGCATGAGGTGGCCTGAACCTCTGGTGGTTTGTAGGCCAGCCACACCCCCTGGTGACCCAAGTAGAGGCCCTGGTATCTGGAATTTATTTACCTTCTACAATTGAAATTTTGTAGCCTGGAGCAGAGCCAAGCCTCCTGCTTGCTCCGTGGCCAGCTGCCATTTCTGTTGGAATTTATGTATCTTTTATGTTTGAAACTTTGTATCCTGGAGTGGAGGCCTGGGAAGGCCAGGGTATGGGGAAAGTTTTGCTTCCTCCATTGCCAGGGGCAATCCTAGCCTTCTGCTCTTTCCAGCTCTGTGGCTACCGCCATTTCTGTCTGGGTTTGTTTACCTTCTATAATTGAAACTTTGTAGCTTTCAGTGGAGGGTTAGGCTGGAAAGGGCAGGTGGAAAGGGTGGCTTCCTCCATTGCCTGGGAAACCCAAGCTTCCCTCCTGCTCTCTGTACTGTGGCCATCTTGATTGGATTATTTGCATACTTGCTCTGATTGGCTGGTGGGCATGGCTTGTGGGTGTAGCAGAGTAATGGTTAATTTGCATATTACTTTTTTATTAGGTAGTATTCCTTGACCATTTGGTAATGTTTTGCCTGAAAAAAAAAATGGGTTGGGTTTGGTGCTTTGTCAATTAATAGCTACTATTATTCAGATAATTTCCATTTTCTTGTATTTGTAAGAGTCTTCCAAGAGTTCTGATTTTCTGAGTCAATACTGGTAATTTTTATCTTCTTACAAAATAACTTTGTTTAGGTTTTTCAAATATAGTAGAAAGAAGAATAGTATTCAGTACAGGATTTTAAATCAGTAATTCTAAGGTGTCTCTACCTATATGCATATATATTTAATCAATTTTTTTCAAACTTAATGCTGTTTGTCTTTCCATATTTTTTCTTCAGAAGTATTCTGTCTATATCCTATTGAAGCATGGTAGCAATCATGCGTGGGGGAAAAGTGCTGTTTAATATTTTAACCCTGCTGATTTGGCTTCTATAATTATTTGCTTGCTAAAAATAATAGAAAAGTTATTTTGATTTTCTGAACTTATATAAGTTATCCCATTCAATTGAATATTCCATTGAATGTGGTTTGAATATCCTAATGATTGTGATCTTACTGGTCTTTCAAAACACATTTCTCTGCACCTGGAAAACAGGACAGCACAATTACTCTAAATTGCCTCAGTGGCTCCAGATAATGTATTTCCATTGACTGAGTGGTCCCAAAACCCGAAACTATAATTAATCTTTGTAGACAACTAACTTGCTCAATTTAGCTTATGTAACTGCTTTTTGAAAACCAGGTTCCTCATTCCAAACCTCGAGATATAATCGATACCTTTGTGATACTTGCCTATATAAGTCCGATGTTTTGGCCAAGGGAAAACTATGAGATTTGGAGAGTATTTGCCCCCTCGTAGTCTCTGGCTTATGAAATGTGGCTCCTTGATTCAACTTCTTGAGGCATCCTTGTATGATTCACGGGTACATTACAACACTATTTTAATATTAGATATTATAAGTAATTAAAAGGATACCAGTCTGAATAAGATCCTCTCTGCACATTACACACACTACTTTCCCCACCAAATCCCAAGATTATTTCATGTTCCCTAAGAAATAAATGATAGAAAATTTTCTTAATTCATTACTCTCAACTTCAATTACATATCTTGCCTGATGTTGATTAAGGTCTTCAGAAATAGTTGCCTTTCAACAAGTAATACTGATGACAACAATGACTAATGTCAGTAGTTATGACATGCATTCTTTTAAACACTTTGTATTATTTGACCCTTACACAAAATTATGAGGTAGGTATTACAATTATCCCCATTTTATAATTTCTATGGAGATATACATGTATAAAATAGAAAAATTCTCAGGAAGGATAAATACTAAACAGATAACAACTATCCTTTGGGAAGGACAATGGATATAAGGATAGTGGTGAAGGTTCTTATTTGTAATGTTTAAATCTTTTAAAAAATATTTTTATTGGTTTAAGAAAGGGAGAGTGAGAAATAAACAACAATGATAAGAAGGAATCATTGATTGGCTACCTCCTGCATGTCCCCAACCACAGATAGAGCCCAAAATTTGGGCATATGCCCTTGACCATAATTGAACCTGAGACTCTTCAGTCCATAGGTCAATACTCTATCTACTGGCCCAAATGAGCTAGGGCTAAATCTTTATAAGGAAATATATTCATTCATTATTTCTGCAATTAAATAAAAGATATGATAAAAATATATATTAAGGAATAATGTCCATCAGGGCACTGTGTATGATGACAAAAACTCTGAAAGAAATGATAATGTCTACCAATAGGGGCTTAATAAAATGGCATTAGAGCAACACAAGGAAACATCAGGAAGCCATTAAACGATCTCTATTTACTGAATGCAAAATTGTTCGTGGGTGTTTTTACAATAAGAAAACCTAAATTTTGTAAAAACAAAATGTAAGTCATCGTCAAAAATAAAGAAGCCACTTCTCTGTTATTGAAGGTATTTTAAAAATAAAGGTATTTTACAAACCATGATGTAAACAGTCAGACTTTACAATCATATAAATTTAAGATGAAATAAGTTCAAGAATATAATAACTATAGACAAATTAGGGAGGAATATGAAAATCACAGGGTTACAAATCTCTGATGTTTCAGGTTATAAAGGTGTCAAAAGCTCTGTCAATTGCAATACATGCTAGGTTGAATTATCTGATGTCAAGAGAAATACAAATTTTATTAAAGAACTTCCAAAATATACTCTACTTACGGGTGTTTTTCCTACATTTTTCTTGGGATAAATAAGCTGTAGTCAACAAATAACATTTATACATTACCCTATTTAGAAAGATTATTAAGATTAATTCTCTGATGTTGAATAGTTTTGAGCTATAATTAAGTCTTCACACATTTCATATATTCTGTGGTTTTTCACCAGTACAAATTTTGATGTTGAGTAAGTTGTGAGCCATAATTAAAGGTCTTTCCACATTCCCTATATTCATAGGGTTTCTCACCAGTATGAATTCTCTGATGACTAATAAGTTGTGAACTCTGAGAATAGGCTTTCCCACATATCTTACATTCATAGGGTTTCTCACCAGTATGAATTCTCTGGTGTCGAGTAAGGTCTGAACCAGAACGAAAAGCCTTTTCACATTCTTTACATTCATAGGGTTTCTCACCTGTATGGATTCTCTGATGTTTAATAAGTTGTGAACTCTGACTAAAGGCATTGCCACATTCCTTACATTCATAGGGCTTCTCCCCTGTGTGAATTCTCTGATGTTGAGTAAAGTTTGAGCCACTACTAAAGGCCTTTCCACATTCTTTACATTCATAGGGCTTTTCACCAGTGTGAATTCTCTGATGTCTGGTGAAGTTTGAGCCACTACTAAAGGCCTTTCCACATTCTTTACATGCATAGGGTTTCTCACCAGTGTGAATTCTTTGATGTCGAGTAAGGTCTGAGCCATAAATAAAGGTTTTTCCACATTCTTGACATTCAAAGGATTTCTTGCTAGTGTAAATTTTCTGATGATGGCGGAGTCTTGAGGGATGTCTGAAGGCCTTTCCACATTCCTTACATTCATAGGGTTTCTCAATGGTATGAATAACCTGATCTGTAGTAAGCTGTGAGTCATGTCTAAAGGTTTTCCTATATTCTTTAGTGGCACAGTATCTCTCTTTATTATGAATGATTTGCTGTAATATAAAGGATGGATGCTGATTAAAAGTGGACATGCTTTCATGGGTGTATATTGGTTGACTAAAATTTCCCTCCTGAGAGCCATGTTGTTTCTCAAACTGGTCATTACATTCCCAATTATCTCTGAAACTAGAGCACTGAAGGTCATGTCTTGTAAATCTTCCCATTATCTCCCACTGGGCTGGCTGTATTTCATTAATTTCCTTCTTCAGAAATAATTTCTTGGTTTCACATCTTGATCCCAGGACTGAAAGAAAATATGAAAGCAATCACCCACAGTTTTATTGTTTGGGAGAAATAAAACTTCAATTGAAATGTAAGAATTAAACCATATAATGGACTAGAAGAGTGAAAAGAGATCACATAGTAATATGAAGGCAGAAAGTAGGCCATTGGTTTGCAAGCATTGCCATAGGTAAGAATTACAAAGGGGAGCTTGCTAAATATACACATAACTTAGTCTTCTCTCCTTTGTTATAAGATGACTCTAATCACTCACATACACACACACGTACTGTATACATACAGTATAAGAGCATTAGTCTACGGCCATACCACCCCGAACGCGCCCGATCTCGTCTGATCTCAGAAGCTAAGCAGGGTCGGGCCTGGTTAGTACTTGGATGGGAGTATAAGAGCATTACACAGCATAAAGTATAAAGTATGGGAAATTATCATACTTAAGTAGAGTTGACAGAATTAAATTAATATGTCAAAGGGAAAATTCTAAAGGGCAGGAGAAGTATACCTGCAGCACTGCAACAATTGTTATAAGTAAAGTTTTATTGGAATGTAGCCAGAGTTATTTATTTATATAATGTCTATGGCTACTTTTTGGATGTTTTTACAATAAGAAAACCTAAATTTTGTAAAAAGCAAAATGTAAGTCATCGTCAAAAATAAAGAAGTGAGTAGTTGCAACAGAGACCACTTTGTCTACAAACCAAATACCTAAATCTGAACCTTTATTTTTTAAACATATGATTTTATTGATTTCAGAGAGAGGGAGAGGGAAAAAGAGAAACATCAGTTATGATAGAGAATCACTGGCTGGCTGTCTCCTGCATGCCCCCTCTTATTGAGCTCATAACTCAGGTATGAGTCCTGAACGGAAATCAAACTGTGACCTACTAGTCAATCTGACCCTTTAAGAAAAAGTTTGCTAGCCCTTGGTTAGATCTGTGTTGGCCATTACAGTACCTACTAACATTATCTGTTTAAATTAAACTTAGTTAAAAATTAAATAAAAATTCAAATTCAGTTTGCATTATTCATATTTCCAGTATTCAATAGCTAACTGTGGCTAATGGCTACCATACTGGAAATCACAAATATAGAACATTTCCATTATTGCTGAAAGTTCTATTTGACAGCATTTTTCTAGATTCAGTAACTAGAGGTCCAAGGTCTCTTTAACAAGTGATAAAGAAATAGAGGGCATCAATTCAGATGGGAAAATAGCTTTAAAAAGGTCAGATGTTGAATGAACCTAGCATGAGTAGTAGATAGGAAGGATTCTTTGGGGGCTAGATAATATGTTTGGGATTTGATGAAAATACTATTTGCCTTGAAATTCTCTGATGCTGACTTTAGGAGAAAGAAACTGAACACATACATGCACAAGCACTATAGTGGTACTGACCAACTGACAGGAAGGGCTTTTGTAGGTTAAAGAGAATATAATGAAAGATAGTATATTGCTATTGAAAGATCAAAGTATAAGAATCAGTTATATGAGTTCTTTATCTTAAACTGCATTAATTATAAACACTTTTGTCCTTGGCAAATTAGTTCGTCTGAGTCTCCAACGCTCTGTCTATAACATAGGAATGATAGCTAATGCTTACAATCATTGTGAGAATTGGAAATAGTATATGAATTGTATTTAGTATAAAATAACTGTTTTGTATTTGAGAGATAGTATTATGAACAAATTTCTATACAAGCATGGGAATAGAGAACGAAGATGGTAGCGTAGTAAACACACCTAATCTGCTGCCATGCACAATTTCAAAAATAAAACTAAAAAATAAAATTCTATCACCCAAAATCCAAGGGAAAGATGGCTGGACAAAGCCCTGCAACTAGACTGAAAGATAAAGAGGAAAATTCAGGGCACAAACGCTGAAAAACTGAAGTGGGGAGGAGGGGGAGGATGCGATATGGGCCGGCAGTGGATCCAGCTGGTGGAGGGCATTGCTTTCTTCAACCTGAAGAGAGACAAGCTCCACATCGCTCTGAACTCCAGTTTCTGGGGAAAGGCTAGACTGTCTGCCATTGGGTCGGAAAGTGAGGGTGGTTTGCTTACAGACCTGCACACAAGAATATTTGTTTGCTGTGTGGGGAGCGCAAGACACAGGGAGATGCGGGACTCACTCAGAGATGTGGTGGATGGGCAGCCATTGCTGTTGGCCATGCCCCAGCCAAATGACACCCAGAGACACTGCCCTGAGACTCCGCCCCGCGCAACCTACAAACAACACACCCAAGCTCCAAACAACAAACCCAAGCTCCAAACCTACAAACAACACACCCAAGCTTTTGCAGATGAATAGCCCTCTCTGTTGCAGTTTAACCTAACAAACTGTTAAAGTCCAAGGAGGAAAGGACCATGGTTCTCACTGTAGCTCCTGCAGGGTGGCCTGAGACAGTAGCTGAACTATTACACCCCATTGTAGATCAAAAGCCAGTGTTTTAGTGCTCAGTTTTAACCCCTCACACCCATAAGTGACACATTCAGGAGATGGACTCAGTGAGTACCAAGGCATGAAACAAGGCATGTCTCCAGCACAGCAGTTCTTCCTTTATAGACACAGAAGATCATCGCAGGTTAATTCCTCCCAGTGTACCAACAGCAATCAAGGCTTAATTACACCAAGTCCTTGTACTCAGCCCACAAAGGGATATACCAAAAGCAACAACCTCAGGTGATTGGGGAAGCTGAGCTACTGGCCCTTATAGGTCACCGACCACACTCCATTAACACATGGAGGCAGCCAAAATGAGGAGACACAGAAGCATGTCACAAATAGAGAGATAGAGGAAAATAAACTACTGGACGACAGAGTTCAGAATCACAATTATAAGTTTACTCAAGAATCTTCTAAAAACCTTTGAGAAACTTGATGAGACCTCCAAGAAGCTTTGTGAGACCTTCAAGGACCTTAATGAAAATACAAAAAAAAAAAAAAAAAAGGAAAAGGTCCAGCCAGAAATTAAGCATACACAGTCTGAAATAAAGAATATACAGAAACTCAACTATAGGCCAACGTGCCCCAAGAATCAAACCAAAGATCTGGAATAGGAAGCAAAAATCACCCAAATAAGGAAGCAAAAATCACCCAAAAAAGAGAGGCAAAAAGAAAGAAGAATCCAAAAGTGTGAGGATAGTGTAAGGAGCCTCTGGGATTGTTTAAAGCGTACAAACATCTGAATTTTGGGGATGCCAGAAGAAGAGAGCGAGCAGGATATTGAAGGCATATTGAAATAAATAATGACAGAAAACTTTCCCTACCTGGTGAAAGAAATAGACTTACAAGTTCAGGAAGTGCAGAGAACCCCAAACAAGAGGAATCCAAAAAGGACCACACCAAGACACATCATAATTAAAATGCCAAGGGCAAAAGACAAAGAGAAAATCTTATGAGCAGCAAGAGAAAAATAGTTAGTTACCTACAAGGGAGTATCCATACGACTGTCAGCTGATTTCTCAACAGAAACTATGCAGGCCAGAAGGGAGTGGCAAGAAATAATCAAAATGATGAACAACAAGAACCTACGATCAAGATTACTCTACCCAGGAAAGCTGTCATTCAGAACTGAAGGTCAGATAAAGAGCTTCACAGACAAGAAAAAGTTAAAGGAGTTCATCAACACTAAACCAGGATTACAAGAAATATTGAAAGGTATTCTTTAAGAAGAGGAAGAAGAAGAAAAAAGTAAAAGTAAAAATTATGAACAACAAAAAGACATCAAATACATATGTACCAACAAGTGAATCTAAAAATCAAGTGAATAAAAAATCTGAAGAACAGCCAAAACCAGATTGGCTCAGTGGTAGAGCATCAGTCTGCAGACTGAAAGGTCACAGGTTCGATTGCAGTCAAGGGCATGTACATTGATTGTGGGCACATCCCCAGTAGGGGGTGTGCAGGAGGCAACTGGTCGATGTTTCTCTCTCATCGACGTTTCTAGCTATCCCTCTTCCTTCCTCTCTGTGGAAAATCAATTAAAAAAAAAAAAAAAAATATATATATATATATATATATATATATATATATATATATATTTTTTTTTTTTTTAATCTGAAGAACAAAATGGACTGGTGAATATAATAGAAATAGGGACATAGAAAGGGATTGGGGGAATTCTCAGGGGGAAGAGGGTCTGAGGGGTGCAGGAAGAGATTGGACAAAAATCTTACACCTATGGATAAAGACAGTGGCAGGGGTAAGGGCATGGGGTGGGGTTGGGAATCAGGTGGAGGGGAGCTATGGGGATGGGGGATTATTACAGGAAAACCTGTAATAATCTGAACAATAAATATTTGTTTTAAAAAAAAGACACACTAACCATGAGATGTACGGGGGGGAAATAATAAAAAAAATTTATATATATATAAAATAAAATAGAGAAGAAAAAAAAAGGATTTTAGGCTTGATTCCCAGTGTGGGACATGAAGGAGGCAATGATGATTCTCTCTCATCATTGATGTTCCTATCTCTTTCCCTCTCCCTTCCTCTCTAAAATCAATAAAAAAAAATACATATTTTTAAAGTTTCTAGAATAAAATGTTTCAGTGTGTGCCAAGCCAAATGAAATCAACAGCATATCTCAACATGAAATATTAGAACATCATAAATAAAGAATAAATTCTCAAATCTTCCCCGCAAAGAGATTAAACAAGTCACACAAAAGTACTAAAAACTTAAGTAGGTTTTGGACTTCTCAAAAACACTAGATACTAGAAAAGTTTAGAAATCCATGGAACAATGTCATATAAATTTTTATTTTTATTATCTTTGCCATCAAAATTTTGAAGGGCAAGATTTTCAATGTAAACTTACATCTCCAGTCAAAGTATCAATAAAAAAAAATGGAAGTGAAATGAAAACATTTTCAGACATGGAATGATTCACAAAATACATTTTCTATTTACTTCTCTTGCATACTTTCCTTGGTTGCTTTTGGAAGATGTGCTTCAATAGAATGAGAGAATAAACGAAAAAAAGGTATGAGATCCAGCAG